CCTTCCAAACTTGGGGAAGATGGACTCTCTGCCAGCCTTTTTTTTTTCTTTTTTTTTTTTAAGGCCATGACAGACTCTGATCCATTGAATTGGTTTTCCCCTAATCTTTTAATGCCATATATTATTACAAGCTTTTCATTTAATAAAAATAATGGACTTGGAAGCTGTGCAGAACCTTTACAAGAATGAAAGCCAGCTCAGAAAGAAATGAGAAATGCTTCTTTTACTACCAATATAGTGGAATATGGGTGAGTTTCTGAGCCAGTCCAATGCTCTAAGCTGAGAATTGTGGAAGGGTGACAGCTGGTGAAGAGGCTGGAGCACAAATCTTTTGAGGGGCAGCTGAGGAAGCTGGAGTTGTCTAACCTGGAGCAAGAGAGGTTTAGAGGGGACTTTATTGATCTCTACAACTCCCTGACAGAAGGGTGTAGCCAGGTGGGGGTACACTCTTCTCCTGAGTAGAGAAGAAAAAGATGAAATGGTTTCAATTTGCACCATAAAACTTTAGATTGGCTATAAGAAAAAAATGCTGTCACAGAAAGGGTGGCTGATCACTGCAACAGACTGCCCAGGGCAGTGGCTCAGTCACCGTCCCTGGAGGTATTTAAAAGATGTGTGGGTGTGGCACTTGGGGACCCAGTTTAGTGCTGGGTTTGGCTGTGCTGGGTTAATGGTTGGATGTAATGATCTTAAAGGTCTTTCCCAACTGAAATTACCTGATGATTTTTGTCTGTTTCTGTACCAGCACAGAGGAAAACTGCAGGCCTGTTGGTTTTTAGTTGTTCTTCTTTCACTGGCAATTTTAACTAGCTTGAAGAATATTCTAAACTTTTTCCTAACAGGAGCATATTTCTTTTCCATTATAAAGTGAAATATTTTAATTTTTCATTACTAACCACAAAAAAAAAAAAAAAAACAAAAAACAAAAAACAAAAAACCCACCAAAAAAAAAACCTCAGCAAAAATATTAAAGATATGAACAGTCCTCTATTTTCTGCCATTTTTTTTCCCAAGAACCAAATATTATTTTCTTAAACACCCTCTATTAATAATACCCTCTAAGATCTCTTGAAATCTTCCCAGTTTCAACAGGATAAGCTACTGCTTTTGGCAATATTTCCTATTTCTTTCGCACATGCACTCACATAAAGCCTATCAGCCTGTCCTAAAATCTCATAGATTTATCCTTTCATGCTCAGCCAAATTAGGATAAAATTGCAGTTAAGAGTCTTGTCTTCCCCTGATGTATGATCACTGTGCATTTTACTGTTGTTAATAAACACTGATGATTACATTAATTGTCATTACAAACTAACTGTTTTATTTTTGAGAGCCCTGTGTGGTCTTTGTTCTGTGCACAGCCACAAGGTGCAGCTTGTCTCTTCAAGGTGTGCACCACTGATGGAGACAAAAGGTTTCTGAAGTGACCCCTAGTGACCTGTAGCCGCTGAACCAATGCTTTATTGCTGTATGTGATCAGTGAGTGTGTTCACACTTGGTCTCCCAAAAAGGTAATTTTATTCTCCTTGGCACGGTGACTTGAAAAGATACCGAAATGAACAGGCAGCAGAATATAGTTGAGCCTGTTTAAAGAAAAACTGCACAAATTCATAGTACAGCCCCAGTTTAATTACTGATCAGGCTACATTTATGCATGATGAGAAGTAGCTAATTAAAATAGCTAAATGTAATTATCTCATCTCTACTCTAGAGAGACTGCCTGTCCTTGTACAAAAGCCAGCATGTCAGCTCATCTTCGGTATCTGTAATCATAAGCTTTATCCAATCTGCCCAGCAGGCCTTTTTGTGTGTAGAAACTAAGTCTGCATCTTTCAGTCTATCAGTGGAAATAACTGATGCCATAAAATTCTGTTGCAATGTCCTTGCTTGAGCACTCAGACTGATTCTTTCTGGACCCCTCAGCCCCATAGACAGAGTTGTTTGTTTTTTACAGCAGTTTGTCCCATGCTATGAGAACTGTCCAGAGGAAACCACTCCCTGAATCCCACTTGGAGGGGAGGGCAAGAATTCAGTTGTTTTATTCCAGCCCATGCAGACAGATAAAGGACCAGATCTGGGAGCAAAGCATGCAGATGAAGTTATTTGACAGGGTGGATATACTCTGAACAGTTTTGGGGTTTTTTTTGGACCTTATGTATACATATATTTTGTGAATTATCCTGTGGTTGACTCAGTCTCTTTTTCCACTTGTGCTAGGTAAATGCTTCATTTTATTTATTTTATTTATCCACAGTTCAACACTTTTGTAGCTTCAGAAGCAACACATGAATTTTCAACTTTTTATTGACTTTTTCCTTTACTTATCCCAAAACTGACTATTTATTTTACAGCTCCTTAGGTGCTCTTAACATCCAAATATTCAGTGCTGTCTTCAGCACGTCTACTTCCTTAGCTGAAAGGTGACTCAGATATTACAGTGTAAGTTGTTATACATTCCTTTCAGGGATATTTAGAGAGATGCTTCAGCTACAAAGATTGTAACCAGATCTCAGTCTGTCTGGAAGGCTGCTTCTGTTTGGATCCAGTTGTTCTGGTTTATATCCATCTCTAAGAATGTTTAGTTATGCTTTAATTGTAAATGATGTTACTCTTATGTGTATTTGCTATACTTTCTTCTGCTATAAGAGACATTTTAAGTTCTGCTCTCAAGGAATTAGAGTAGAAACCCCCAAAGCACTTAAATCACTTGAGTATACTGAAACATTTCAGCTATTGCAAGCTGAATGTTAGCCTTAGCCATTGTGCTGACAATGTCACTTAGAAAAGCCTTGTGGCAAATACCTAAACCCACCAGAACTTTAATAAAAACTCAGAACAGCATCACCTCCCCGCTTCCAAAATTTCAGCAAGCTACAGACTTTGAGCACAGGGGCAGGAAATGTGAGATCCTTTCCTTGGAAAAGGCTACTCTTGACTGTAATATCTCCTTTTAAGAGTATTTCTGATCTGAATTTTGTCGTTCTCATCGAGTGACAGCAAGCTTACTGTGGAGTACTCTAGTGCTTCCATTCAAAGGGAGCCTAGAGCAGCTCCATCCTTGGAACTGCTTCCCAAGGGAGGATCCAGCACAACTGAGAAAGGATCTGTCAGGCAGAACTGAAAAACTAGAAGATCAAGTGGAAAATATTAAGACTTAACTGCTCTCTAAACTTACATTTATACCTTATCACCTTCAGGTGGAATCATTGCTTAGGTCTGCTGATAGAGCATGCATAAAAAAATCTTTTGACAACAGCTTCAGGTACATTGAAAATATTACTTAATTAAAACCACCTAAGTAAATGTCAGCAGTAGCCTCCAAAGCTTTAACATAAAAAAAAATATGCAGTTTTAAAAAAGTCTCTACAACTGCCTCTTCAGTGAAGGATGGTGAATTAATCTAGTACTTTCTGAAAGGTTTAATGTAATGGTTTTATTATTCAGGAAAATGGGCAGGTTCAACCACTCCACATATTCAGGCAGAGATCAAATGTAGATGAAAGCTCCCACTTCAACCTTATTGACGTTTAATGAGACAATTTTACAGAGCTGCTGTTCCTTCTCTTATCAGCAGCCTCCTAAATCTCCTGGATTGTTAATGGCTTCTGTGAAGCAAATCAGATCAGCATCTGGTGTCTTGTAAGAACCAGTGCAGCAACATGTGCTGATGCCTCAAAAAAATGTGATTTTGAGGTCTGAACGACACAGAAATTTCCTATTCGAACAGCTGCAAATATTTTGTTTCCCTTTTTATCTTTACTCCCCTCATTGGTTTGATTGGAACCCACAGATCTTGCTCTCACATTTTGCCTCAAGGAACAACCTGGAGTGAGGGATGTCCTGGGATGTGGCTGCTGCCCTGGAGCTGCAGGGCTTTGGTATTCCCTCCCCCTGCCCTTCTCATTCCAAGCCCTGAGAGCCCGTGATGGATGTGCTCTCAGCGGGGCCAGGAGTGTCTGGAGATCCACCCCAGCATTCCCCAGAGCCAGCTGTGGCCTGGCTCCAAGGAAGATGAGAGGTCACTGTGCATCCCCATGCTCTGTCCAGCCCTGTCCCTGTCCCCTGTCCAACAGTCCAACCCTGTTCAGCCCAGAGCACCTTCCCACAGTTGGATGGGGATGGACTGGATGAAGAAATTTGCTGCACTATCAGTCAGGGACAGGAGAGGAAGTAGAAACCAAAGGAGGTTCATAAAAAAAAATAGTAATAAAAGGGAAATCCAGCTTTAGGGAGGTTGAAACCATTTGTCAAATCAGCCAGCAGTCTGCTCTGAAAGAAAGGAGAAAATTGTTTCGTAAAAACTTGAGAAAAGTCCAGAGGTTCTGGCAATTGGGAATCACCCCTAAAATACTGTGGTTTGGATGGAGAGTGTTTTGCAGCCATAACTAAATTATCCCACCTGATTCTGGGCTGTGTGGGAATATGGAGGTGCAGAGCTGACAGTATGCACAGGGAGCTGAGACTTAGGTGCACCAAGGAGTGTGTGCATAATTCAGTGTCTGAATAATTATCCTGGTGGAGAATTAACCCCCAGAATTGTGCTACAGAGCTGTTTACTCTGCAGCTGTGAAAGCTACACGACTAAGTGGCAGCCCATGAGCAGAACTGTCTGCTTCCTCTGACAGCACTGATTGCAGCTCACATCATCCAGCAGCCCTGTGAAACAGCAGGTTCATGACTTTCCCTCACAGGTCATCAGAAAAGCACTTCAGTCAATCTAAATATCAGGTGCATTGGTATCATTCCCCTGGCTTTCAGCTGACATTTCCAAAAAGAGAGTAATTTTCTCAAATTAAAAATAGAAGAACTAATAAATTAGAGTAAATTGGGGTTAGAATGGGCATTTCAGGCATTCAGTTATAGGTGGAAGTCACAGCATATTTAGATTATCTGCTTGTCAGACCCGTGAGGATGAATGTGCTATGGCAACTCTCCTTTGTGAATCCTTGACATGTACATGGTGGCCATATCCTCACATACTTTCATCCATTCTTTTCCAGGCAAAGCTCCCCTGAACACCCACAAGAACATCACTGTCTAGCCAGCAAAGCTGAGACAAAGAGAAAATATTTGTCTGCAAAGTCAGCTTGATTCAGGGCTCATCAGACAACACACAGGTGTTCAAGGTATGACAATACTCCTAAAATATCTTGTGCTTTAGTTAATATACTATTATACCTTATTTAATATACTATTATACCTTAAAAATGCTATGACACACATGGCAAGAGTTGAGGCCATTTTTGTCTTCCCTTTTAATTTAAACCAGGGAATAATTTTTGACTGAAGAAGCAGCTCTGGCACTTCCTGATGTTTTTCATGTTCCCAATCTCTTTTATTTTCACTCTGTCAAAACAATCTGCTATTGGTTTCTACAGCGCAATGTCTTCTTGAAAGGCTCTACATATTTGTTAATCTGAATTAGAAAACAACTTGTGGATGAGGCAATTTTTCTTTTAATACATTATTCACATAGAAGGCTAACACCTGCTAGGGCACTAAGGACAGGAGAGATTAGATTCAAAGACCAACCAAGCAATCTCCCAACACTCTGTACCTACATCTCCACACTTTTTTCATGTAAAAGCTTTATTTATGTGAAATATAATGTAAATGTTCAGGTGCATAAAATTAATGGGACAATCATTTTTTAATATTAGCTTTAATAGATACCCAATTAATTTTCTTTGTTATTAACATGCTTGCTATGTTGGCAAGAAAACAAGCTGTAAATATTTAACATTCAGGTTGTCCATTATATCTTAATGTAATTAGTTTCATTCTATTATACAGTCTTTAGGTACATGATCATGTATTGTTTTTCCAAGACCCCAGTACTTTTCTGTGCTCTGTGGAGGGTGGAAAGCAGATTCTTGATAATGAATAAGTTTCTGTATATCAGAGATCAGTTTGCAGAAGGTGGACACTATGCAAATTAGCTCTGGATCTGATTCTGTGAAGCTCCACCTGAGAAAAATGGCCTTAATACCTTTGATGCTATTGCAGTGAATATGATTAGTAAATGGAAGGTCTTTACTTCCCACCCGAGTATTCCTTTTTGTAATGGACTACAAAGCTGTAATGATAAATCTGTTGGCGATAAATTTGTCATCAAAAGCAGTCTTTACTGTAAATTGACTTTTGATTAGCCATATTTTGTACTAAATATTCCTGTGTACAACCAAGTTCACCTGATGAGAGAAAATAGCACAGTAAATAAGGTTTTCAGCAATGCTGTGCTTCCCCTGAGAGATGAGCTCTCAACTCTCACTGCAGTCATAACCAGGACATTCACAGGTATGAACACATTGGCTTTTTAGTTTTACTGTATTCCACCTCATCTAATGAGCTTCCAAATGAAACACTTCAATATTCAGACTCAATATTTCTTTTAAAAAAACAAAATTCAACACGGCACCCCCAAAAAGAGAGGATAATTGCAAAATTCATCCAAATATCATGGTATGTGCAAACCTTTTGTTTAGTTTTACTATAATTATGAAGGCCTTTGGTGACTTAATAATGTAGCAGTTTTGCAGACCTGATTAATATTGGGATCTTTGCCTTCAAGCTGCACTAGATAAATTGTGCTAATAGATGTTTTACTCTGGTCATTTTTTTAAACTCAGGAACAAAGAATTATAATTCCCAGCACTACTGGAATAGCAAAGTATTTTTCAGTTTATCCCTTCAAATTGGAAAACAAAACATTTTCAGAAGTCTTAACAAGTCAGATAAAACCCCCAGTTAAGGGGTACTCTACTGAGTACCTTCTCTGGCTTGAATAAATAATTCACCAAAATGTGATTTCTCTTTAAAAGATATTAAAGGCTAAATTTAGTTTCCATAAAAGGGATAAACGCAAAGATGTTAGTAAGCTTTTGAGGGATAGGACTGTGATTTCTTTCATATTTGTATACAGCAAAGAACCAGTTCCAGGCCCTTTATAGCATTGACAAAATAATGGTGACAATGCATAAGATTAGAAAGGGAGAAAGACTCACTCTAGATTTTATAGAATAAAGACACACTAAATGCTCAAAGCCACACAAAAAGGAATTTACATTAAAGCTATAAAAAAATTATTCCTGATGAACATAAGAAATCATTCTGTGGTTCTATACAGGAAGGGCAATAATTAATAATAAATAGTAGAAGAGATGCTGTTCTTCTCACCAATTCCTTCCCACACTTGTTTGTTTCTTCACTGTGCTGGGAGGCTCCAAGAGGTAAAATATAATATGAACTGATGATACATGTGCTTGGAGTCTGGTATTTCCTATTTTAAGTGTTCTCATTTAATACCTAATTGATGAAATTCTGCTTTCAGTTACACAGAAAACTGCACATGAATTGTATTGACTTCTTTGAAACCACTTTGACCTTGTTTCAACTAGAGACTGTCTCAACTAGACAACTGATTGTTGTTCTAACTATGAAAATGTGAAGAGATGATAAGAATGTAAGATTTTTCTTTTAATTGGGCTGGTTTGTGGTGTGTTTCAGTTTTGATATCTGTGGTTTTGGCATGGAGCATATTCTTAAGCTCAGCACTAAAATGATTCCTTTGTTAAAAAAATAGCAAATTATTGATATTATTAAAGCAGATTGGGGGCTGTTTTGGGTTTTGTTTTTGTTTGTTTCTCTTGACGTAGGCAGGATTGTATCTGTGATTTTTCTGCACAAAAATTGTTGCGTTCCTTCAGTTAATATAACCACTCTGTGGTCGATTTCCTCCCAGTGGAGTATTCCAGCACAAGGGAAAGGTACCATTTTTGTTGTGCAATACATTGTGCAGTTAATGCCTAGGATCTAGATGAAATATCTGTTATGACAAGGCCTCCTCAGTCCAAAAGTGGAGGTCATGCTCAGACCCACCCTCTGACGTTCATTTTTCAAAGGATGATTTAAATAACCCTCTGTATATCAAAAGGATCTAGATCCTTAGCAAAAGGAATTCAGAGCAGGCAATGGTAATTTATTTTGAGCAATTAGTCACTGCCCCGTCAATGCCAGCAGAGTTCAGCAGGAGTTTCATGGGTACAAAAATGGGCTTCATCTTATTTAACCCCAAAGGACTGCTAACAGTAGTAAGAACACTCTGATAATTCAATTTCAAGTGTGCCCAGATTTTCTAAACCTAGATTTAGTCTCTGCTCCACTGCACCAGATTTACAATGAGATAAACTAGTAAAATCTTAGTTGGTACAAAAGTGCTGTGGCAGACTAGAGAATCTGGTCAGAGACCACCTCTTTGCATCTCACTGTCATTTGCTACTTCACAGTAACGTGAACAGCCAGCCTCCACACTCTGAAACGGATGAAATTTAGTGCAGTAAGGGCTGGCAGAATGGTTTACCACTTCCAAGGTCTCCCAGCCACATATTTAATCAGGGTATGTCACAAACTCAGGGCTGACTGAAACCCAACTATTCCCAAAGTTGTCCCAGACCATTCCAGATTTTTCAACGTTGTGCTGCAGCTGAGATATAAATCTCTGTATGCATTCCCTAGCATTCATTTTCCATGGAAGTCACCGAGACTGGAAAATAGGAAGAATCAGACTTTCTCACCACACTTCACATTCTCCTTGGCTCCTGCCAACAACTCCAAACTGACATGGGAGCAGTCTCTCCCGAGGAATTCTGCTGCCTCTGGTTCTGGTTGACATCAAGAAGTGTTGAGGTATGTGTAAAAAGTTAACATTTCCCCCCTCTGAATCTCAAACAGTGCACAAAGTTCAAATGCAGTCACAACCAGACGTCAGTTGTAAGTTCTCCATGTCCTTGCTGCAGATATTTCATTTCTAAAAGCAGCCTGTTAATGTCAAACGTTTCCATTCTAGCATTCAGAGATTATGAGTTTATTGCAGCAGCTGTTATCTTCCTGTATTTCAAGGGAAATATATTAGGAGACATTTTAAATGCATTTTCCTCTATTAACATAAATCTTGGCATCTTGTGTAATAAAGTCAAATAAGAGGGCATAAATTACACCAACAGTCCTGGAACAATAAAGAAGTTTTCAAGGAAAAATAAAATTAAATTAAGATTTCAGGTTTAAAATTTTGTGTGGGAATGCAATTCCTCACACCAGGTAGTCCTTCTATCACCAGCACACAAAAGCTGAGGTGCTATTAATGGGACACAAAGCTTTTCACCAGAAAGCTTTAATCCCTGCAGCTCCACAGTATGTGGAAAACATGAGTCTCCACTCTTTGGCTGCTTCTTGGTGGCTTCTGCAGGGCAAGTTCCATGGAGACATTAGAAACAGGCTGCAATCCCCATTTCAAGTTTTTTTCCCCTTATGGATACCTACAGTCTAGGTTCCTCAGGGCAAATTCAACTTAAACAGCATGTGTTCAAGTACCCTCAACATTGTTTGAACTCTGCAAGGATAATAGTGCAGCATGAGAAAACAGAGATGACAATTGATTCTTTCATTAATTCAACATAATTCATAAATATTTTGGGCGATCCCTTCAATTAAAGTCCCCGGATTTACACTCCATATTTAGTTAGATTGTTGTCATGCCCTAATGGCAATTCAGGCTTGTTAGGGATTTATTTATGGAACTTTCCTTTCATTGCTGTGAGACTACAAATGATCTATTGTATGCTTGATTGTTTCAGATGCTCTGGTTAATATGACCTTTCTTCTAGCTGCATAGCTAAACTCAACATTGGCTGGGAAAATGCTATGAACATTATTTCAAATAGAAGAAATTTCTCTGCAGCCTTAGGCCCAGTCTTCCCCTTTTTTTGCCACCTCTTTGTTCACCTTGATTTGATGCCTATTTCTGTTTAGGAGCCTATCTAATGATTTATTTATTGACTACACAGTTTCCAAATGAAAATAAGAAAGGAGGGAAATCAGAAGAGAGATAAAACTTTAGGAAATACTGTGTATGATGTGGGGTCAGTGTAGTAAAGTTCTTGATATAGTAGCAAATCCAGCAACACTTTTTCTTCCAAGGAACAAGTCTTTGTGTGCATGTCAAAGCACTCTCCCACTCTCCCAGAACTTTCTTGCACTCTTAGAAAGCTGAAAACTAAAATAAAGGTAGAGTTTCTGGGCTTGTACACACCCTGTGCCTGTAAAAGCTCTATTTTTCACTCTTCATCTCTTTCTTTTGGCTTGTTCAAGTGTATTTTTAGTGTTTTCTTCCATGTATAACATTTGATATAGAGCCAAGCAGGAATAGTCTGCAATCTGTACGGGCTGAAGCTCCAGGTATGAACCATGCTGGCTTCTGTCTGGGCTCCAGGAGGAGGTGAGGCAGGTGGGACATTGGATTTCTCTCCAAATGTTAAACAGGAATCCTGCTAGAAGGCCAAACATGATCAGCAGCCCTTTGCACCATGCAGGGATTAATAAAGGGGAGGCACTTGGGGGCTTTTCTCTGGGCCAGGGAGCTGCATCTTCACGTGTGCTGTAAAACCCAAAGAAGGTGAGCTCCGAATCCTTCTGCTCACATGGCCCAGGCTGCACCCCCATGCCTGCTGGAAGCAAGTGGTGGGCAGGGATGCCACCCCTGCCTCTCTCCTGAGCATCCTGTGACAGCAAGAGGCTCTGGAGCCACAGCTCATCACTCAGGCTGAGTCAGCAGCCCCACCACACTTCTCCACTCGCCCTTGCACTGCTTCTGTTGAGAGCTGCCTGCTGCACTGAACAGCTGCCATCGCCCTCAGAATCACTCAGCACCAAAAGGGAGGCACTTTGCCCAGAGTCTTTAAGAAATGGTGGCAGTATTTTCCTCTCTTCTATAGGTTTTCCCAGCAAATCATTGGAAATAAGGACCCTGAGGTCACCCAATCTGCTCTGTGCCAGTTCAGCTGCCCTTGACAGATGTTTATCTTGTGGGTCTGAGGCTCCTGTGATTTTCCCACGTTCCCACAGCAACCTGTTCCAGGGGTCTGTCATCCTTGCTGTTGGATGTTTGGCCTTAATGTCTAACTCAATGCTCCTTGCTGCAATTTTAAGACCATTGCTTTGCTTCTGTTGTGAGCACAACAACATTTTACCCACTGGAGAATGTTACTTGTTGCTGTCTCAGTCTTAAGGAGCTCCAAGCACAGTGGAGTGATTACTACAGATGATATTTGGTTTTTAACACACTGGTATGATATTTTCCCTATTTGCCACAGACTGGTTTGACTCATGGTCACAGTCTCTGATTCATTATAACCCTCAAGTCCTTGCTGGACAAAGTGATTCTCAGCTAGACTACCCCCAGGCTGTGCTCATGCCATTCATATCTTCTGCCTGATTGTCACAATTTCCACCACTCAGTGTTGTATCACAACCTTTTTTTAAATAGTAGTCAAAGAATATTTCTAAATAGAAGTGAAAGAATCTTTTTCTTGAAAGAATAGTCATCTTACACCACTTCTCCAAATCACCAGGATAATTTTGAATTCTTACTCCATTCTCTGAACACTTCTTGTTCATCCCAGCATAATATCATAAGTATATTTTCCAACCCATCATGAAAATTATTAATTATTTTGCTGCCCCATGTCTGTCAGAGCTCAAGGATTACCAAAAGGTATTTGCATATTGAGCCATTGTCTCTCTGCCCCTGTCTCTCTTCACTGCCCAGTTTTTCTCCTGAACCACTTTCCAAGAAAATCCTCTTTGATACTTTCCTGAGCATGCAGTTTTCTCATAAACAGTTCCCGACTGAGCTGGGAAGACTGGCTCTTTATTATTTACTCAAGGCTGAGTGTTTCAATTCTCAAAATCAATCCTTGATCTCACTGCAAAGCACCAAGATACTAAAACTCACTTCAGAATAAATGGAAAAAATTGTTGCAAATTTCTTTGGTACTTCAGGTTAAAATCCAGCTGTGATTTGAGGTTTAAAGTTTAGACAACTTCTGCTTTTTCATTCTTCTGAGCATCTTGGTCCATGGGGCACTCAGTAATGTCCAGCACCCAGCATAGCTATATCTTATTTTTATTTATCTGCTGCTTCTGACCACAAAAACAAGCCTGGCCAACATCCCTAGCAAAGCCTGGGTCAAGTTGACAATAATAAGCAAACCTAACAAAGTTAATGCAAATAAGATTGGCAGAATCTATTACACTGAGTGCCTTAGTGAGTGATTCAAGCTGAGATGAAACTTTCTGGGAATATGCACCAGGCTCATCCAGAACCAGTTATCCTTGGACCCCCCTTGAGCCTGAAAAGTTAATTTCTAACTTCTGATATTTTTTCTATTCTAGTGAAAGTTTTTGTTTTGAAACTTTGGAGTTCCCACTATGATCCCTGTTTTTATTACTAAGCAAGAAATTTATGACTCTTGGATATAAAGATGAGATGAAAATGTAACCAAACACATTACAAAGACTCAAAAATATAAATATGAAATACAATCAATGCTTTCTTTTTTTTTTTTTTTTTAGTTACAAGGTGAGTTCCACCAGCTTGTGAAGAAATCCCTTCATTTGAGATGAAACAGAGGTCATGATTTCTGAGTCCTTGGGTTTGGCAGCATGACTTTTGGCCTGTAGCTCAAAATGGAGTTGGCCATCTGCACTTTGGGAATCCATTACTGTTGTCAGAATCACACAGGGTATTATAGCAACTGCCCAAAGCAAAACAAAACCAAACCAAA